TGTGAATGCTACCTCATTGAATGTTTATGAATTCTCGCAAACGACGCGAACAACATCGACACAGGCAGAAAGACATAGAAAGACATATGGGAGGGTAATCCAAAGGGAGCACTGCCTTTGTGGTAAGGCCCAGCCATTGGAGTAACCGTTGAAACACAATTGATTAACAATTATTTCCGTCGATATGTACAACACTATTTAAGATGAAATCAATGCTCTCCTCGTCGTATTTTAACACGGCCATCGGTGCCGTTATGTTTGGCGTCTTGTATGTTCAACAAGGAGCTGATGATCTTCAAAAATGGATTTTGTTCTGTTTCCAGCGCGCTGCATTCATTACCAGATCTACAATAACAGCATATTAACAATAAGAACTCTGATGAAGTTCCCGAAGCGGCTTTAAAAACCTAAAAAAATCTATCAATTGAAAGACGTGTTGATGCCCAACGGCTGTAACTTTTTGAGATGACCCTGTGCTGGAGAATCCAGTCGCTATGGCACCACCATGACTGAGTTGAGGTTGAGGGCACGCACGTGTGATGCCTGTCCCTGCTAGCTTTGTGGGCAACTATTGGGTTGGAGCATAATATCGTAGCGTTTTTTTTTCGAGCGGATAAATTCAGTCAGTACGAGTATCACTCGAATAATCGCTCAGAATTTTCGGAAGTACTCTTTCCGCTCTACAAAATTTTCATAGTTGTCATTTTCTTCAAAATTGTAGCTGTACTCAGTATAGAGCTTAGAAGTTGGAAAATCCAGAGAGCGAAAATCGGCCTTTCGACAGCTGCTATTCTTCGGTTTAAATAAAGAAGAAAACGCCAAATTGGAAGTTCCTTTTGAATCCATTGTTTTAATCGAACCTTGCTCTAACGACCCTACCTTTTTCGCTCAAATTAAAACCATATTCATTTCGTACAAATTGAGAATAATAAGGACTCCGAAAACGAGCTCAATATTTTTTTAAATTCTATATCCGGTGATCTCCTGCGAAATGCAATCAAAGTTGTAAATAATGACGAAGTGAACATCACTGATTAGTTTTATGTTTTTATTTTTTGCTTCAAATGTTTGTGTGAAGAAATGAAAAATGCAAGCGCTACGATATTATGCTCCAATCCAAAACCAATAACGAGCGCCCATTCAGAATCAAGCGTGCACGGGCGAACCCTTGAGGATAGTTGTTGTATCGCACTTATGGGAGAGGGGGGGGGGGGTAGTATAAGTGTTGGTATCACCAGTGAACAGAGCAGTGGTAGCCTATTTCGCGAGGAGATGAGACCGTCATTTCAGATGTCGAATGTAGAGCGGTTTCCTGGACTAGATCAATCGACGTCATACGCTTCAAATGTTATTAAGTGCAGAGAAAACGCGAGTTAAAGAGACATAAAGAGCTTCCGAAGAGGATGTGTAAAATTGCGGAAGGGTTCAATCATTAAGGACGATTTATTAGGTTGGTCCATAACTTCTAGACCACAATTTTTTTGTTGCTCCTCTGGCACGTTTGTTCTGAGTAATGTACTTCACCCATATCAACAACTTACTGCCAATGCGTGGGTATCAGCTCAACTCCCTTTTGTACAATACCGTGAACCTTTGATCGAAACAAATTGGAAGTCATTTTTGACATTACAGTAGCGGTCAGAAGTCAGAAGTTTGGAAACCTTCTTGTTTTTGATCTGACAGAGTCAGCATGCAACGAAATTGCCTCAAATTTTTTGAACATAATCAAAATTAAGTCTTGAAACGATAGGCATTATATTAGGCTGTTGTATTATATTAGGTCGGTCCATAAGTCTTGCAACAAACTACATTTAATGCTATAGAATTTTAGGGAGAACTCCTGAAAATCCGCAACATATTTCCTGACGTAGCATCAACCTTTGCAATTTCAGCCAACGGTCCAGCTCGTTGTCTGCTTACTTATTATGGATATTACACCGATTTCGCGAGAGGGCTCTCGGTGCCCTTAATTTTTACGAGTACTGCTTGGAATGTTCCGCAAGTCATGCTAGACCAAGGATTGGCCAGAAGATAGGCGAGGGCAAGCTCTCTCCACAGTGCAACGGCGCTTCACTCTGCTCAGCGTTGACTTTTTTATTTGAAAATAACCCACACTCCAACCACCCTGTGACTGACAATCACGATGCTATATCTGGATGGCGTTGAAAAGGGATCTGGATAGATCATTTGCTAGAGCGATTCCGATGCGACAAGGAGACAGCACTGTGGCATCTCCAAAGACTTGTGAAGATCCGAAAATGTAGAGTTTGGTCCCCACGTGCCTTGAGCCCGATTCAGCTCCAAACACGATCTGACACCGTTATGTTCAAGTCGACTTACTAGGGATTCTACGATTGACCATCCATCACATTTGCCGAAGATGAGGAGTAGGTTACAGTTTACTAACAAATGAACAAGCGGCGGTAGTCCAGCTCAAACGCTTCGGGAGATCTTATTGCTTAAGTTCAACCTCGTCCAAGTAGGGCCTTCTCGGATTTTTGGTGGAACACGGGAGGAGTT